GGGGGGGGGGGAGGATGGGGGGCTCCTCTCCTGCAGCCCTTCAGACCCCCACCTTCAGCCAGCGGGGGGTTTACGGCCCTGCCTGGGCCAGAGGGCAGCCTGACCTTGGGCAGGTGGCTTCTCCCCTGAAAATGCCACCACACCCGGTGAAGGTTTGCGCGGTGCCCTGGCTCTGAGGTTGGGGCTGAGGCCAAGGCAAATACAGGAGATGCAGACGTTGGTCGCAGCACTTACAGCTGAGGGCGGGGACCCCCAACCCCACGCGTGATGTCTGTGGAGCACTTTGTGGGGCCGGGCCCTTGCACTGAATGTTCACGGGGTCAGGCAGATGCTGGGCTCCGGGTGGGCCGGCAGTGGCGGGTGGGAGGAAAGGACAGGTGTGTCCGTGGCGAGGGTTCGGGGTTGGCCCACGGCAATGGCCGCCAGGGCGTCTGAGCAGGGACGTGGGGAATTTTCAAGGCTGTCAGCTGCCTGGGCCCTGGAAAGGCCGCCTTAGGGGGGAGTCAAAGGTTGGAGGACAGAGTGACTGGGGGTGGGGTGGGGCTCTAGGGGCCTGGAACCTCCTGCTCCCACAGCTCCTGGGAGGAGCCAAAGCGTCGCTCCTGCCAAGGGTGGGCAGGGCTGGGCCCCGTGGCGGAGGGAGGGCGGGGGGGATGCACTGCGGGGGCTCCCGGGCCGCCCCCCACTTGCTGTGAGCTCCGCTAGCCCTGAAGTTCTCTGTGCTCAGTGTCCAGGGTGCTGCTGTGAGGAGCTGACCAGCCACTACATTACAGCAGGTCTGGCACAGAGAAAACACTGAAACATTACCTTTCCACCCTGTTTAACGAAAGAGGCAGCTGAGCCCTGGCCGGTGTGGCTCAGTGGATAGAGGGTTGGCCTGTGGACTGAAGGGTCCCAGGTCCGATTCCGGTCAAGAGCACATACCCAGGTTGTGGGCTCCATCCCCAGTGGGGAGCGTGCAGGAGGCAGCTGGTCAGTGATTCTCTCTCATCATTGGGGTTTCTATCTCTCCCTCTCCCTTCCTCTCTCTGAAATCAATAAAAATATATTAAAAAAAAAAAAAGAGGCAGCTGAACAAGGGTGAAAAACTTGCCTCAAGTCAGTCAATAGCGATAAGACACCGCTCAAGGCCACACTAGCCACTCCCTCAGTGGCCACCAGAGGGCGCCTTGGCCTTGGGAGCGACTGCCTGGACGCATCTGGCACTTGGCCTCCTGAAAACCCCGCAGGGTGGCATGAGACAGACAGACGCTGCGCCCCGTGGTGCGGGGTGAGTTGCCACACACATTCCTAGTAGGAAGGACAGTCGAGGCTACAGCCCTTGCCTCCTACTCACAGTTCAATGAGCTTTCAAATAAAGTCCAACTTTTATTTAACCAGAATATTCACTGTATCTTTCCCCAGCCCCCAGGACTCCAATGGCAGTGTCAACTAACTGCATCCTCCAGTCGCAAAGTTAGCGTGGGAGGGAGGCCCTGGTAACTTGTGGTGGGGGAGGCTTGAGCAGCGGGGCCTCTGACTGCCGTGTCGCTGCCTCTGACGGTCACAGATGGCGGCTGGGTTGCAGGGACAGAAAAAGAGAGAATGCATAGAGGGAACAGCATGTGCAAAGGCACAGAGGCAAACAGTGTGGGAGAGCAAGGTGTGCCCTGGGAATGGTACATGCGGGA